ATTCTCAATTTTTTCTAAGTAGCCAAATATCCTAAAATTTTACTAAAATCACTGTAAACTAAGTTTGTTCATCATCTTTCATGGTCTTTTAGTTTCCAGAATAGTCTTCAGTTCTTACCTTTAGGGTCCCTAGATTTAAAATGACTGGTCAATTCAACGTGTTGACCTTCTGCCCTGCTCGTTGCAAATCCTATGGCACAAATTTTTTATGGTCAAATACTGTCAGGTCTTTTCTAACATGGGACACCGTAAGATATTGGCTTCCATTGTTTTCCAAGGACACACTATGACATTTCTACACAAACCTGTGTGGAGCCAAATAAAACATTTTCTCACAGCCATTGGGGGTTCTTTTGTTTTGTTGGAGTTTTTAAAATCCAGTTCTGCTGGAAGGGCCCTACAATATCCAAATGGCTCCAAATGCTGACAGGTTTGTGGCAGCGACCTCCTCTTTAGGAAGCCTTTTCTGGGCTGTGGTTAAGGCAGTGTATGTTGGGACTGAAGGAGAGCATAAGAAACCTGCATCCAGAATTTGCCCAATGCATATGAACAATTGCTATGAGCCTGGGTACTACTCCACCAGATCATGCCTGCTCTGCTACCTGGAATTTTTGGGGGAGCCCTCTTTGCTCTTTGGTTCTTTGTGCCAAGTTGTTACACGTGCAACCCAAGTGTGCAACCAATGTACGACAGATTTCTTTTATTTCATTTTCCCAGAAGTTTAGCCCCAATTGTCCTTACAGAATTTTTTGGGGGGCATAAATTAGCACTCATATCAAACGTAACCATCGTCATGTTGGAACAAAGCTAAAATCTCATATGGCCTACCCATGAAGCATATTAATCCTGGGAAGAACCACTGCAAATAAAGAAAGCAGTATATACAATTTTTAATACCTTCATACCTCTGTCAGGACCACCAGAAAAGAAGACAGTTCTCATAACAGAGGGACCAAGTTAGTAACTTGGTCTACTAATTAGACCAAGACACTAAAACCGATTTTTTTTGTGTGATCTTAAATATTCAGCAGATGACACTATCAAACCATAAAACTATCTACCCTCTTCCAGATGAATCATCATAATTTATAATAATTTTACTCAACAGATTTCGGCTTTTTAATCTAATCAAGCCTCATCTATGAACAGACTGTGTTCTTTATCAAATACATGTTTTTGTTTAAAATTTGCCAACTGGCTAGGTATTCATCATATTCCCCAACCAAAATGTTTTTACATTTCTTTCCATTACAAATTCTCTCCTGCCCTAGCCTTTCTGAGGACTGTAAATGAATAATTCACTGGGCTTAGTTGTATATTGAATATTAACAGACTTCCTCCATCTTTATTTTTACATGAAATTTAACTCGTGTCTTGCCATAATTCTGGTAGCATATTTTTTCTTTTTTTCAGTTTGTCAAGTGGGATTTGCAAAATATGCTCTCTGTTCTCAAGAGCACTGTTAGCTTCACACTGACTTCACAGCAAAAGCACTAGACTACATTCATGACTACTTCACATTCAAGCCCTTCTAAGTACTTAGCTGAAGCTAATATTAATTAGCTGTGAGGCACTTTTTGGTAAAAGGAAAGACTCACAGTGAGCTTCATGAAAATTTGGACTGTCCTCTCTTCTTTCGTTCCCCTTGTACATAGGTATCACTATTAGCAGTACTGGGAGCATTTTTCAGTTGTGTGCAGCTGGAGTGTGGTGTTTAGGGGTTTTTTTGTGTTGGTTTTTTTATTTGTTTGTTTTGTTTTGTGTTATTTTTCGCTTTCATTTCATGCGTGTATATACCCTCCTCCTTCAAGGTTTACTGACAGAAACAAAGACTAAAATCAAAATTGTAATAAGAAAAAATTACCCAGACTATTGAGAAAGTGTTAAAATTACATTATTAAAGGAAGATTTGCATTACACTCAATACAAAAAAAAGTAAGTGTGATATTTAGGACACCTGAATTCTTTAAGGTCATGCAAAAAAGTAACAGCCTAATTTGAGTGACTTCAATTAATCCAGTACTCACAGGACATACAATTTTTGCTTAGTGAAAGTTAAGGTCTCTAAAAATAAAATAAAAAAAATAAAAAAAAAAAAAAAAAAAAAAAAAAAAAAAAAAAAAAAAAAAAAAAAAAAAAGGAAGAAAGTTAACAAAATACTTTTCTGTTTTTAATGTTAATAAAACTTAGTGTTCAAATTCATCTTTGTAGATCAGTGGTATTTTTTTCCAAAGGATGAGAGAGGAAGAAAAAAATAAAAGTTTCACAGTTCAGAGTTCTGCTTTGCCCTATGTTACATTTCAAAGACCTACTGAAGAAAAATACAACTTTATAAAGAAGCCCCATAAAAATACAGTAAAGTTCTTGCATTTATTAAAAAACTGCCCTATGAAAACTTAGTTGAACATTGATGGTCTCTCTTTTATTTCTGGCTGAACATAATTACATTATTTCATTAATTTTAAACACACATTTCTTACTGATCATCATACGTGAATTTATAATGATGATTCAAATACACGAGTATATCAAGGACTTATAATGATGAACATAAAATAAAGCAGATTTTGAATCTAGTAAGTTCAGGTAAAGCATGATTTCTCATGCTCGATTTGCTGGAAATTATCTTATTTACACATAGGGATGTTTATGTTACTGAGCTGGAGATGATTCATTACTGTATAATGGTTCACATGCTGCTTTCTACTACAATACAATTACTTTATAGGTGCCATTAAGGCAGTCACCTCTGCAGTGTGGGACTATGTGCTTGAGGCCTTAGTGTAAGCTAGATGTTCTCTCCTAAATAGTCAAAAGGAAATCCTTCCACCATCAAATATTTATTCTCTTTGGAGGTATGCAGATTGTATTGAAATATGAGAAACCAAAGCATGTTTTGCTGAGTTCATATGTACTTGAGGGAAATGGCCTCTTTATAAACAGTGGCTGGTTCTATTCTATTTAGTTTTCTACCTCCAGCAGCCACATGAATGCTTGCCTCAGGAAACACATACAAATATTCTCTTTATCTCTTGCAAGCATTACCAATGTTTAAGTCCCTTTTTTTTATTACTTAATTGAGAAAGGAAGGATGTATCCAAGACAAACTTTCAGGTAGAAAACAGTACATAGTGACTGCAGTGCACTATCACTCATTTTGTGATCCCTTCCACAACTGACTTTACAAGAAAGAGAGGACTGCTGCACTGAGCCCAGGTGCTTTATGCCTCTCATTCCCTTAGGGACAGAGAACACTTTCATTTTCTATCTACAAGAAAGCAGAATCAGTGATAAATTCACAGTGTGCTAATCCTGTGAGACTAATCAGCAGATAAAACACAGCCAGAGATAATATATTGAGTCTGCATATTAACACAGAGAGGCAACAGATGTCTAGGCTCTGTCATACATAAGCGAGGGTATATATGCACTGGCACACTCTCTGCTTCCCCAGGTCAATACTTTGTTACCTCTCACGTAAGGTTTTTATTCTTTCTGTGTTTCTGAATGTGTATCTGAATGGTGTTGGTTTTGTATGGTTGGAATGGGAGCTATGAACCTTCTCCTGCAAAGACAGTGGCAGATTTGTTGCCTCTGGGAAGAATTTCTCCAGATGCTATTTCCTTGATGGCAGTGAATGTATGGCAGTGAGAAGCACATGAACTCATTCAGTCAGATTATGCTATTTTCACAAGGCTTTTTAAATTCACCATCACAACCATGCTATGCTCAGCTTATCAGGAAAGTAGTTACTGAAGCAAGATTTTCTTGTCCAGTTGCAATGAGACGCAGGGAAAGCAAGTAAGATATCCCTGCATTTGGGATCTCTGCTGTCCTAATGAATTCCCAGCTGACATTCCTGAGTTGTAGAGCGAACAAGCTGAGAAGGCCTACCAAATCAGAGCCATTTCCGAGAATAAATGTAAGGATGGTCCTCATGGTTTCATTTGAAAGACGTATCATATCTACATTAGGGTAAGAAACAATTTTTTTAACTTAGAAGTTTCAGCAAACTTGTAGGTTTTTACCTCTTTTCTTCATATTAAAAAGACAAATATCTTCTCCAACCTGAATTTGAGAAGTGCAAGTTAACACCTAGTCTCTCACACATCCTACTTCCCTAGTGTATACAAGGTGTGACTTAGACAAAGTAACAGAGACCGAATTGCAAATGCCTGTTAAACATCGAGTAACGTGGGAGGCCTGCACATAAAAGCATCTTGCAGTTTGGAGCATATTGTGATTTAATGACTTAAGGGGAAAGAAACAAAACAAGGAAGTCTCTTACTTCCAGCTGCCTCGGGACCCCTGCAGCACAGGTCTGCACTGTGTTGGCACTGGCAGCATTCAGTAGCTTGTGAGAGAAAGCAGGGAACGGCCCAAAACCCAGTGAGGTCTGATGGAAAGTGACACCACAAATGGCACCTCCTGATTTTCTGTAGCACTCCCAAACTGGCAAATCTACTACTACTTTTAAAGAAAATTATTATTTCTGATAACTTGAGAATTGATTCTGATTTACAAGGTTTACTTCTTAACGCTGAAAAGGACATTGCTAACTTGAACCTCAAAAACATGAGATTAAGAGAAAATAATCTTCAACTGTGACAAGAAGTCAAATTTACAAGGAGAATGCTTTTAAAAATTGTTCCAGCTGGAACGTATAATTCTCATACTGGTCTGTTTAACCTTTCCTAGCATAAATAACATTGCAGAATGACAAGGAAAATTAAAAAAATAAAAAATGAAAGATGACAATTTGATTAAACTGGTACTTTCCATGAAGCATTAAACTTCAAATGAATTAAAGATTTGGGGGGACTTATCAAAATAGTTTGATTATTTAATTATTTATTTATTTTTAATCGCTGGCTGGCTCCTTATACTTCCAAAGCTTTATAAGAAAAATTAGAAAATCTCTTTTTACGTATCATTGCTTTTTCCTGTTTTCATGTTATTTCATCCTTGTTTATAACAACACTTTTTTCTTATTATTGTAGGCAATGAGAGCCTAGAAGAAAATTATGTGCAGGACAGTAAAATGGGATTTGTCATCAATGCTATATATGCTATGGCTCATGGGCTACAAAATATGCATCATTCCCTTTGTCCTGGACATGTTGGACTCTGTGATGCTATGAAGCCGATTGATGGTAGCAAGCTCTTGGAGTTCCTCCTCAAATCCTCATTCATTGGTGTTTCTGGAGAAGAAGTTTGGTTTGATGAAAAGGGAGATGCCCCTGGAAGGTAAAGTGGTTTTTTCTCAACTAATTAAACCAAAGGTTGGGAAGTGGGAATGGTACTGGGTTCAGTGATGGAGAATTCTTTGGCTGTTTTGCTGAAACATAAAGCATGCTAACATAAAGTTAAGCATAAATGGAGCTATCTGGATCAGGCTTTCCAATAACCAGGAGTAATACCGGTAACACATGACATATTGATAACTATAACTTATACTGGGACAGGAACTACAGCGTAGCCCATAAAATTTCTAGTGTTTTGGGTGACAATCTCTTTTTACATATAATTGCTTTGATATGACCAACCTTGTATCTCGCAGACTTTTGGTCTGTGAGGTAAAACTGGCGTCAGAACCAGGGTTTTAGTATGTACAAAGCCTAATAAGAATGACTGGAATTTAGTGAGCATTTGCTTGCCACAATTTTGAAGAGTGGGCTGTAGAGTACATCCCTTTCCCTGCATCTCTGCCGAAAGCTCACCAGAGACTATTTTCCTCTGCTTGGTGAGCTCCTGTACGGTCTCCTTAACTCATTTCATTCTGAATATGATCAGCTCAGTTCCAGAGTTTAAAGACAGGTCTGAGTAGAGCAGGACAAATAATTGGGTTTATTTTGACAGAAGTTTATGTGTTTCAGTCATCTGAGGTGTGGTTCCAGCCATGGTAGCTGCTGCCGTCTAGCCCTCCCTAGCAGACACTCTATGTACCCAAGCAGTGGGTCAGACAGCAACTCTGTGGACTTGGATGTCACCCTTGTTTCTGTTATGAGACGAAGCTGACAGAGATCTTTGCCTTTCATTTAGTTCTGTGGATTCTGTTAAACTGTTTTAGCAGATGGATTTTTTAGTTTGTTTGTTTTTTATAAATACATTTAATTCAGCTGCTGAAGTACAAAATACATTATTAACCGAAACCTACTCAGGGGTTGCTTTATTGAAGTTGGTTTTCCTACTGAGTTATTAAAGTGTTATAAAAGACTCTCTCACTCCATCTTTGGGCTTATTGCATTAATGCATTTGAATGCCAACGCTGAGCGAAGGGAGGGCTCTGGAACAAACAAGAGTTTTCAGTCTGGCACATGCCTTCAAAGAGTATTTGTAAGACAGTGATATAAAAGCAACTCTTGTCTCCATTACTAAGCTTTATTGGGAAAACTGGCAAACTTTTTACCATTTTCTATATTATTATATTAATTTCTGCTGTTATATTTTTTCTATTGTTATATTTAAACAGCGTATACATTTAAACACTTTGTTACATTTAATTAGTAATAAAAAGCTAGTTAGTCAGTTTGGTCTTCTTGTTCAGAGTTGTATACTTCAGATTTTTTTTGGTCAAATATACACATCAGCTAGGTCAGACTTTGAAAGTAAAGGCAAGCAATTCCCTTACACTCGAGCACACATTGATCAACACAAAAGAATAAATCAAGTCTTCACACATATAATTTCGATAATACAGAGAAATTGCTGCTTAGTGTAGCTTTAGGCTTTTTACACACCATTTGTGTCCATAAAAACATTACTCCAGCTTTGCAGATACCTAATTTTCTGTCTGTTAGTTATTTGGTTTGAGTTCAGACATAATTTTCCAATTTTAGCCCAATTCTGATTTATTATTTTGTCATCCAAGAGCATTTCCACAACTTCCATCAGTACCAATCATAGAATTAGATGGAACGGTTCCTGAATTCAGAATATAGAGGAGGATATATCAGGATATTTCTCTGAGTATACCAGAATGATAGAATTTATTCTAGCCATCATTTTGGTCTCATTTCTCTTGATTCCCTGGCCTATTTAGAATTTGATGGGTTATTTTAGGTAGGGCAGTTTTTTTATTGTTGTTTCTCATTTATCTTTTCACAGCTGGAGCTCTCAAGTTTTGGAAAGAAAATTCATTTAACCTTTTGGTTATTCATTCTGTAATCTTTGATTCAGTCTGTGGCATTTATGACATGGGCAATATCATATCAGAGAATGGCTATGTGTATACAAAATGTGATCTTTACAGTCTGTCAGATCTTTGTATCCCAGTTGTAGTTTAACAGAATTGCATTTAGCTTCAGATTGGCTGTAATGTTTCCACAGCTTCACATGGAAGGCTCTTTGTGGATCAGTGAACAGACTACAGCACTGTATCAATACCCAAAAGAGCTTTAGTACCTCAGCAAAATGGAAAGATAAACACTACACACAATACCTACAATATATCCAAGACAGCCTGCTCTGAATTTTTCTAGTTTTTAGGCCTTTCTATGCCAGTGCAAGAATGTCACACTAATGTGTAAAAAGCTTTCATATATCCTGTCATCACATCATGTGAACAAATCAACTTCACAGGCTGGCATAAATTAATATTCCTTCTGAGAAGGCAGCAACCTTCTTCATAATTTATTCTCAAAATCTGTGAGATTCTTCGAGCAATTGACTCCCACAAAATTGGAATCATCATGGGTAGAGAGCAGATAAAGTTGCCTGTAGTTATGTTTGTCTGGCACTCACATAATCTCCTGTTTTGATGCCCTTACAGCTTCATGAAACCTTAACCACTTGTTTGGATACAACTCTTTTTCCGTCTCAGGCTCAATTCATGGTTTCAAGCTTTTATCAAAATGAGATTAGAAAACACAAAGCATTTTTTCAAAGGTGCATTTCTTCTGTGAAGAATCTTTTCTTTGAAGATCTTTTATGCAGAAATGTGATGCAGAATTTTATCAGAAGGACACAAATGCAGTCATTTAGCTGACTGCATTGCCTATGGGGAAAAATGGCATGGATGTACGTCTGGAAACTCAACCACATGTGTTTGCTACACTGTCATTAAGAAGATGCTGGTAAAATTGCTGCACTTTCTATTTCCGTAGGGTAGCTCCTGTTTCCTTTCCCTGTGCAGTAATTTTATCACTCCAATTTCCAGAAATTCTTGGAAAAGGTGTGAAGGATGCTGTAGTCAACACTGCATCCTTCTTTGGTCCTATGCAAAGGGCAGTGGCCAGATACATTTCTACCTCTGGTCTATTTTAGGGTAATTGCTTCCTTTTACTTTGTGGCAGGTATAAGGAACCTTACCTCTCTGGGAAAAAAAATTTGCATAGACCTTTGACCATAAAATGCTTTGTGACAATGGACAGGAGAATTTCCAGCCCCTACAACGGACCTTTGATTGTGGAGAAATGCTGAGGTTCACAAACTAATAGAAACGTTTCGCCTAACTAAAATTTTACCTAAAGTAGACTTGGACTTAAAACCATGCAAGTTTATCTAGTTCAATATTTCCAATAGCTGTTCTGGCTTCAGTCATGACAACTCTGCCAACACCAATGCTTTGAGTAAATTATCTAATGCTTAATGCAGACTTCAAACTTGTATGTAAAGGTTTGTTTGTTGTTTTTTTTCCAAATATGCATTGCTTTTTTTGGAGTTTGGATTCATGGGTGTTTATTTTGGCCATTTACAACCCAGCATTGCTTGGCATTACTGTTTCCCATTCTGCCTTCCAGGATAGCAAACATCACATGCCAGTCTAGCATTATGGCTATGGGAAAAGGTAACTTCAGCTATCTCAGTTTCACAGAGTATGACTGTACCTGTGACCAGTTGATTAATATTCTGGCTTACCTTACAAGTAACCTTTTATTATGATACCACCTATTTGGTCACATAATTTTCCAATATAATAGAAACCTTGCTCTTATATTAAAAGAAGAGTTCATTTTCTTACCTGCAGAATGGCTTCTGTAAATGCTGCCATATGCTTGTGAAAGACAGCTGCTTCCATGGTCCTCACTCTCTTAGAGCTTCACAACTCTTGTCAAATCCATTTCCTCTGGGCTATTATTTCTTAGCATGGACACAGACCAAAATTGTTAAAGTTGTACATATGCAAGCAAGGGAATGGAGGGAGGTGTTCCAGCACTGAACTTGTTCTTGCTCAAAGCAGAAATTCTTCATTAAGAAAAAGAAGGAAAGGATAAAGAACTTAAGCAAATCCCAATAAACCAAGTGTATTTGATAGACCACATTTTTTTTTCACTTAAAATTCAAGCTTCCTATCAAAGCTACAAATACTGGCATACGCAAGACTGTGTCAGAGCTTTTAGTCTGCATATTTTATTCTTTGACAGATATCCTATAGAAAAGGGAATAGTATTTCAAGAAAACATAAGAAATTCTTAACTGATATTGAATTAATGCCACCCTGTGCCTTGTAATATATTTTTTATATATTTTTATATATTATATTATAAAATTTCATTAAGGAAATGTGAGATTTTAGTAATCTTTTATTTCTCTTCCTGAATTCATTTCCAGCCCAGAGTAAGTAATTTTGTATCAGTCTAATACAAGGTATCACTAAAACCCAAGTAGATTTTTCTTGCTAGGAAGAGGTATATACATTCCTGCTGAGTTTTACTCCTGTTTGATGAATCTCCATTATGAAGTACCTGACTCTCACTGCTTCTTGCTATCCTGATTCTTCACAAGACTGGAAATAGCATTCCTTTTTTTATATGCTTCCATTGCAAGAACTGGAATATGAGAAGTAATTGTTCCCTAATGGATTTGAAATTTACCCCTTTCCTAAGCAATGCCTTTGTTAGTAACCAATTACCAACCAATGGAGCTGCCTCCTGATTGGAGCT